GTCTTTAGTATATTTTGTTATTCCGACCGTATTAGTTTGTCATCGGATTCATAATAATTGTCATATTTTTCGTATTTGTATACACACCATGGCTAAAACGAAGAAAAAATGTAGACAGTATAATAATGAATATTTGAAGTACGATTTCATTCATTATAAATTGCCTACAAATATTAAATTAATGATGTGCCTAATTTGTGTATTATTTGTAAAATAGTTTTTACAAATGCAGCTACGAAACCGTCATGACTGCAAAGTTCATGGTAATAAAAAAATATATGGATATTATGTTTTTTTCTAGCAAAACACCCGATACATCCATCTCATTAGGATATATTTTTTTTTTTTATACTTGTATAATATACATTATACAATATTATAATAAAACATATACTTATATATTATAAACAATAAATTATTTTTCAATTACGTACTTTTGTACCAATACATTTTTCTTTAAGAGGGGCGTCTGTCAGATTTTTTCCCGTAAAGTTTAAAAATTTGGGAATCACTGGTCTAGAATTTACTTTAGAGAAGTCATTTTTTGTATTCTCAGAAGTTTTCTTATCAAATTTGAAAAACCGAAAATAAACGAAGGAATAACGGAAAATATAGGAAATGTAGGTACTTATTAGTTAAAATATATTACGATCTTTTTTCTGTGCACAACTTTTCTACCAGCAATTTTGTTCCAATTTATAATGATAGCAATGTTTTTAAAAGGAACTGCCCGACTGGGGAGGTACTTTAGAGAGATCGTTTATCAATTTTCTCAGGAGTTTTTCCAGCAAATGAGAAAAACCGGGAAACTCGGTTCAACAGTAAACAAAATATTAACAAAGAAAATATATAAAGTCTATTTAATTATTTATCTATAATATGGCATATATATTGTTGACAAAGCATCCCTGTCATCTGAACTCCGCTCAGAATCGTTTTTTCGTAAGCAATGGTTTATCGTTACTTGCAGGTACATATTAAATTACTTATAGCAGTGGCTGCACGTGTCCTCATTTTACTAGGACGTCATTTTTATTTTTTTTTTTATTTTTCTGGTTGTATAAATAATTTAGGGCGTTGTTATTACCAAAACGCCAATTACCCATTTTTGTTACAGTAAAAAAAAAAAAATAAAAAAAAATACGAACTAATGATTTATTACGAAATATGAATGTACACGAACTGAATTACAATGACATACTGAATATTTTATTAGTTTTTCTGTATAGTGTATAATGTTCAGCAAATTCAATATAGGTAAATAGTAGTAACTAGGTTGCTGCCCAGGTAATATTTTAATTTATCATCTATAATCTACATGCGAATTGGTAGTCGTTCGTTTCCACATTATTGTAAATCTGTGATTGCTGTCAATATCATTCATCATCTATGGTCAATATCATTCTATCGATGGTCAGACCTTCATTGTCGCTCGTATATTGTTACCGCGCTCACGGTTATGGTTCTTGGAAATCTGTAGCGCACACACCCCTTGCGCGATCGCGAACGCGACCCGCGATCTTAGATCGCGCGCCCCGATCGCCCGACCGCTGATCCAATATAAATTAAATACACTCGGTTTTCCTTGCGCGATCGCGGTCGGCGATGTAAATTTGTTCGCACCGCGATCGACTAGTTGTTTTGAAAATAATAAATAATATGCAATTATAAATTTAAATCTAGTCATCTATAATTATTATTTTATAATTGAGCATTTTAAACTTGAGTTCTGCAATGGCTCAAGTGTAATAAAGTCGAAGACGATGATTAATCATGTCTTATTAGATATTCAAAATAAAATCGGACTGATTTTCTGAAGCATTTTCTGAGAAGAAAAACGCACACCTTATTAGTAAAACTAAAATGATCGGTTAAAACTTAATTTTTTCTCAAGGAACCATAGCCGTGCGTTAACACTTTCCGGGGTTACTGTTCCGGTATGCATTTGAAACGGTATAACGTATAGATAAGATAATCGAAAAAAAAAACATTGCATTTCGTTTTTTATAAGTATTACCTTATTATCAAACCGTCAAAACGTTATGCTTTTTTAAACATATTGTTATCACTATCGGAAATACTCCGCAAAAAAAATCTTAGTTTCCTACGTTTTATATTAGTTTTTCAAATGGACTTCAATTTCTAATGAATTTTGTTGTTTTGTGTTTAAAATTTGGATTTTTTTTTTTCAAATTTGTTCAGCGCTTTTTTTCGATTATTAAAATTATAATAGACTTATAGTATAGATGTCAGGGTACATGGAACACATGCAGAAGACTATCCTACAAATTTAAGTCCGTTTTTAAATTATTATTTTCGCATCATTTCATGGTATTATGCGAATTTACGTATTGTTAGAACTCGAATTTAGTGTACGGAAAAATAATTTAATTTCGAAAAACGATTTACAGAAAATCTTGTAACAGGAAATAAAAGACACGTCTAACCGGAAGTGGAAATGGTAGGATACACCGTTATTTTTATATTCATGCGCAACAATACAATAATTTTGATCAAAGTTTCGTGACACAGTTTGAACTTAAAACACTTATAGAAAAACACTACTACGTACATTACGTACAACTTTTTTTTTTTCAATACGAAGCACAAAAAATAAAACATTTCCGAGTATTTTTACCCGGCTTAAACAATTGTGTCCACATAAAATTTCATTTTGGTAAAGTAACTGTAGACATAGGAGTAGGGGAGGGGATAATGAATATGTGTGCGTGTGCGGTGAACACGACAGACACTAACGAACGCCACTGATGACAATTAATGACGATGAAATAGGGGAGGTTATGAGCATGTGCGCGCGCATACGGAGCAACGCACGTCGCTACGTAACCACACGGAAAAATACAATTTTTAATAATTCTTTAATCAATCAATGTTTGGAACTTTTCTCAATTCGGAATTTCAGATATAACTGTGCAAAGAAATCACCTCACGTTTTAATAATATAATAAAACGACGTCGTTTACTGCGTGGCGATATTTAGTACGCCATCTGTCGGACCGGTAGTTATTTTATGAACGGTACGTTGGGCACGAATGAAAGTTTATAATATACAACCCGAAAGACACCGATTACATCGTGGGACATTCAGACATTAGTAATAGTCATTGTCAAATTCAGCCGTGCAGCTACCAATCTCAATTTAATCATGTTGGGTACCTACACTTAAATAAGTGACTTTGGCCATTATAATGAAGTCATATATCTATAATATTGTACACAGCTTTAACCGGACACGGTTAAAGCAGCCGGGCCTTATTGGCTCAAGGAATGTGTCTTTTGGAAGTTTCAACTTTCAACCGCACCCAAATATTTGCAATTTTCTGAATGTATTATTATGTGGGTGTTCAAGTTGAAACTAAAACTATTACAAGAAGTTGGTGTAGTGTCCAAATTTAAGCAATAACTAACAAATTTAAACCTAATAAATAATATTATTTATATTTTAAACTATTTACGCGATTAATATTTTATTATTGTTATTATTTTGATTCAGCTTTATTATTGATATTTACGTTTGACTTTATATAATTTAGTAATCCCGACTTATATCTAATGACGTGTTTTTTTTTTTATTAATTTATTATGTAGCCTTTTTAATACCGTTCGGTTTGAAATAGCCGGCACTTCTCCAAAAAATCTAGAAAGTTACCTGTGGGTAATTGCTGTATCTCATTATCTGATATACGAAAATTATAATCATATATTTAGTATAAATATAATTATTATACAAATTTAAAATAAAAATAAAATTGACACTCAGATTTGAAAAACAGAAACTACCTGTACGCATATAAAATAAAAGACATTATCTTTTACCCGGTTAAACATTTATTTTATTGTAACAACGAAAAAAAGAAAAGAACTGATGTTCGGGACGAGTGCAGCCACTCGTGTAGGTTGATAGTGGGGAAGGTGGGATGCACAAAGTTATTTAATTTATACCTGTCATCAACGATACACCATTAATAATAAAAAACGATTCGGAACGAAGTTAGATAATATATATTTTAAAAGGTCGTAATATTTACGATTATGATTGTCAACATTTTATTTTAACTCTTATAAAAAAATTTTTTTTTTTTTGCCAACAAATACGGCTTATAATAAACCTTCTATCAAATTTTTAAGCATTTCTGTTAAGTTTAACAATTTATCTTCAGAGTACTTGCCAAATAAAAATTACATAAAAAACTCGCAAAATTAAATTACTGTAGCTTATGAACAGCTCAAAAAATGTTCAAATTTTTTGAAAGTTTTATTACGTCTAGAAAAAGTAAATATAAGTTTTCTGTTTAAATTTTAAGTCTTTACGAATATTTTAAACAGAAATACATTAAACAAATTAAATTTAAAATAATAAAAGAGTTATTTTCACTAATTTTAATTTGAAAGGTCGTACTGTTTACGATTTATCTCGTTTTTTCCCGGTTTTCCCAAATATTATGAAAACCACAGGGAAATCAAAAAAATACCATCTCAATGTATCGACCAAATAAAATTTCCTTTCAGGAAAGACGCTACATTTGATACACCGGAGTAAGTTTTCTACTCAAAAAGTTGCTCGCAGACATAAAAAATAATAAAAACATATATCATGGGAAAATTACTATGATATTCCAAAGAAAATGTTTCATTTATATTATTTTCAATCCACCAGAAAATTAGATGTTAATTTTTCACGTATTCCTGATTTTTTATGAAAACTAATTGGACAATTTAAAATAAGACTTCCCTTAATGTATCAACTAGATCTAAAATTCAATAAAGTTTTTTTGTAATTTTTTTAATAAGACTAAGATTTCTGGTAGAAAAGTTTAACATCAAAAAAAAAAAAGAAAGTTAAAAAATTATATAAGCACACTATGTGATAGTACAGCACCGATTCTTGAGGGACTTCAGGGATCAGAGAGGTAACTTTCAAGTATTCTGATTAGGGAATCTGGAACTTATTTTGTTTGTAACGATCGCATTATTTTTATCTATGATGTAGAATTAAACGCTTTATCAACGTTCAGCGTGACAAGTACGCAGAGTTCTCGCTTCTTTATGGACCCCGTGCCGGAATCTGTTACGTCGCTCATAACTTTATTAATTGCGTCGACTGTTGAAAGGTCAACAACTTCTCTTCCTAAATCCGTACTGGTTATCTGAAAGTCCATTTTGTAAAGATGACAAATATTCTTTAATTCGTATATACGAAAAAACGATTCTGAACAAAGTTCAGTTGATAGTGCTGCTTTGTCAACAATATTTATATCATATTATGGTAAAATAATTAAACAGGCATTTTATATTTTTTTTAATAATACTTGTTTAATATTGTACCAATTTTCCTGGTTTTTTTATGTTTCTTTCCAGTTTTTCACAATTGCTGGGAAAACTCCTGGGAAAATTGAAAAATAACGTCTTTAAAGTACCATCCCAGAAAGATTTTCTTTCGGAAAAAGTGCTGCCATTGTAAATTAGAGCAAAATTTCTGGTAGAAAAGTTGTTCACAGGAAAATAGAAGGCCGAAATATTTTTCAACTAATACCTACATTTCGTATATTTTACCGTTTTTCCTTAGTTTTTTTCGGTTTTTTACATTTGTTGAGAACACTTCTAGAAAAATCGAAAATAACCACTTTAAAGTACCTTCATTTTAAATCAGAGCAAGATATCTGGTAGAAATGTTTGCATAACAAATCAAGGGGTATTTGTCAATTAAATTATTCCGTGGGAGCGATTACTTCGGTCTCTAGGTACATAAAAAATGCATTTATTTTTTAGAACATTCAAAATAAATATATAATTTTTTTTACTTTTTAAATTTAAAATTTAAAAATGTATTTTGATTTAATTCAAAATAGATAAAAAACGATGTCCTGTGATACTGCGGACGGGGGCACCTACTGTTGTAGATGAAGGAAGTTGTAAATGTAGGATACAGACGGGAATTTAATGTATTTCTGTAAGCAACGGTAAACCATTATTGACGAAGAAATGATTCTTAGCGGAGTTCAGTTGATAACGATGCCTTCATCAACAATATATATGTCACATTAATGTAAAACAATTACATATGCATTAAACATTTACTTTAATAATATTTATTTAATATTGTACCTATTTTCCCGTTCTCCCGTTTTTCCTCTATTTTTTCAGGGTTTTTCAATATATTAAAAAAAAATTTCCTAATAAATCAAAAAATTGACTTCTCCTAAGTACCCCTTCCAGTCGAATCACCTTCCAGAAAAAGTGCTACCATTGTAAATCGGTGTCAAATGGCTCGTAGAAAAGGTGTGTAACAGGAAAAAAAAAAAGGCCGTAATATTTTACTATACATTTGTATATTGTCCCGTTTTTTTTTTTTTTTTACCGAATTTTCGAATATATTGAATAAACTCCTGGGAAAATCGAAAAGTGACCTTACTATTAAAGTACCTTCCCAGTTCGAGACTTTAAGAGAAGGTGCTGAATCGGAACGAGATTTCAGGTAGAAAAGTTGCATACAGTCGCGTCGTTAATAAAACCATAAACTTCTTCGCTCCACTCAGAATCTAAAAGGTCGCTCGTCATTTTTCGATCGGGACAAGTTTTCCGTTCGAAATATTGTGTACGGTCGGAAGAAGAAGAAAAAAACACAAGCCATAGTAGTAAAAGCAAAATAATATAGATCTCTCGCCCTCAGAATTCTAAAAAAAAAAAAAAAAAAAAAAAAAAACAAAAACAATAAACACTCGCACATCATGGTATAGTAAAACCAATACGCTCTCCGCTCAGAATCCGAACAAAAAAAAAGAACAATTCACCGGGCGAACGTTGCGCGTCGTCCTGACTCGCGCTCTCGAGAGCACGTGCACACTGCCGTTAATTTCGACCCCCGCGCTCTTGTGGTATTTCCGCGCGGCCGACGGCGGTGTCGCGTGGTCGTCGTCGTGAACGCGCACCTCGTTTAACGATCGGCTGCACCCGCGACGATGACCGCCAGTTACCACATTATACCGCATACCGCGTGAAACCGCGTAGTTTATGTTACAGCTCGCGTTTTAAAACGCCTGCGACTAGAATAGCCGAACCCAGAAACATCACGTCTACGTTCACCTTCGCGAACGAACAACAACATTCAATCAATGGACTACGCGGTACAGTCCCCACGGTCTTATTATTGTACCCAAATGCATACGGCGAATCAATTCAATAATAATATTATGGATACGACGGTACGCACACCGTTTTCTGAACATTAGCCGCGCGCCTCTCGTTGGTAAAATTAACCGTTTCTCATTCTCGATATTTGTATTAGATTTAGGTTTATTCGTTATTATTGTTAATTTCGTATTTTCGTTCGAAATTTACGTGTTGAATTTAGTTTTATTTTTTGTAAAATATGTCTTATGTGTACTCCGTAATTATAGGCGAAAACGACGAAAGTTTACTGCGCGTTACCAATGTCATTGTTTTTAATTTTTGCAAACTATCATTGTCCACCAGGAATATTGCTCCGATTCTGAAAATAACAAGACATCGTTGCGTTCTGTTGCTTTTAATATCTAGTGTTGTGTAGGCCAATGAAGCAATATGAGCCGAGTCAGCGCATTGCGAATAATATTTAAGAACACGAGCACCGCGGTAACGGGGGCAATGCGGGTTTTCGATTGAAACACGTATGCGTGTATACGGACTGTTTTCGCCGGGGACGATTATGCATGTGTCTTTACTCGTAATAAAGACGTTTCGAATAGCTAGTGCGAAACATCGATTATTTTTTTGAGTAGCCACAATACCGTAGCCTTATTCCGAGTCGGTTCTGTAACCGGTCAGTTTTCGGTCGTTGAAGACAAGGCGTGAACTAGTGAAGCGGTGGCCCTACATTTTGGGAACGATTCCGCGACCGATTAATTTACGGCCGTTTGAAATTCTCAAAAATAGGCGAAGGTGTACCATCGGAAAATAGGTATTACGACACTAGCCACTGATGGAGAAAGTGATTTTATCCATATCTAGAGAAGTTTTCATGATAATTGGGAAAAAAACCAGGAGAAGATGAATGGTACGATTTTTTTTTTTAAATTACGGTGCAACGATTACATTATTTAAAATTTGAATGATTATATTTTTTTCTACCAGAAATCCTTGTCAAAATTTCGAGGACAGCATATTCCTAAAAAAACAAAATTTTCTCTTGGTTGTGATCGAGAAAGCCGTTGTTTGATTTTCCAAATATTTTTCTTAATAATTACGAAAAAAGGTGAAAAAACGTATGGAATACGGCAAAGCGTATGGTGTTTAGGTTTTTTGTTGTTATTCGGCTAAACATTTTTGTAGAGAGCTGTAGTTTTTTAAAAAAAAAAAAACACTTATATTGGCTTTTTTTAACGTACGTTCGGCCAGCCTCCTCTACCCCCCCCCCACCCATTGGAAAATTCAAAAAAAAAATGATGCAAATATCTTGCACGCAATTGGCACGCCTATTTTTGAAATTCGCACGATACTCCTTCCCCCGAAAAATCCAAAATCATAGTTGAAATTTACATTTTTCAATTTTTTTTTTTTACCGATATTTAGCACGCAATTTGCACGGTGTTATATAAAAACTATATTCTAAAATTTTTTTTTTGACCCGTTTGTTTTCAAACTGTTATATTTTTATTTTTATTATTTTTACGGATATTTAGCAGGTTTGTCGTAGACTAGTAAAATATTTCGAATTGCTACTTTCGATTGTTTATTTTGTAAAAAAAACCACGTTGAATAACATGCACGTTTTCACCCGACCATTTTAAATAAACCAGGCGGCAAACAGCGAGCAGTTTACAAGACGACAAGTCAACTAAATAAAATTGTCCAACCGTGGGCCGGAGCTATTCACACGGCGATAGTCGCTCGGCGAATTTCGCGTGCGAATTCCGCTCTCGTCGAAAACCCTGCGCGTTTGAATCGGGCAGGATTTACGAACTCGCGGCGAGTTAATCCGCCGCGACACGTCCGCCGTCGGCCGGCGATATTTTCCGAAACCGCCCGACCCGCGTGACCGCGAAACCGTCCGTTTCCATAGCTTCTGAACGACGGCGGCATTTTCGGTTCAACGAATTTCGCGGCGATTATCGCGGCCGGCACCGCGTTTCCATACGACATTATTGCCGCGTCGTAACGAACAGTAATTAATAGTGTCGTCGTAACATCGCGAACGTCGCGAACGCGGTACGCCATTTCACCGGGCGCGTAACGCGTACGCGCGTATTTATTTACGCACGTATGTTTTATACTTGTGTGAGTTCGTCAACCGAATTGCCGTAGCGTCTTTCCGTCAACGTCGTTGCCGAAATTGCAAAATCGTAGACGCCGTTACGTGCCCGCCGACGCATATTATTATTACGGGTAACCGCATTACGGTAAATGTTTTGAAAACCGCGGCGAATACACTGAACGGGAACCGTCACGCGAATTCGCCGCGCGCGCGCCGCGTCAATCGCCGGCCGCCGTAAACGTCTGTTTGCACGCGACAGCGACGGGACAGCGCCGCGGCCGTTCGGCGATTGCCGTCCCGGCGGGTCGGAAAATATTCTTGAACGGGTGACGGGCCGACGGGTACCGCTGCGGATAGCGCCGTCACCGCGATGTTGCGATTACCCGCCGACGGTATTTTCCGTGTTTCGCGACCGTGATTATTTGCATTGCGTTCGACGATGCACAATGGCGGTGCACCGCTTTTGATTTTGCACGCCGGTGGTTCGGCATTTGTTTTTTACGTTTTCACTCTAGCCGAGTACGGCGAACGGCATACGACAATTAAAAATTACCGTCGGTTTTATGTTCGATACGAATAATGATCGTTTTTTAATAAATAAGATCGGAAACGCATACCAGCCGATTCGAAAACGTTTGAAACACGAAACGTACAACATTAACAAAACATTTTAATGATATCGGCGTAAAAAATGACGGAGTGTTCGAAAATCCTAATAAAAACTATGCGAACGAAAACTGTCCGAATAGTGTTTACTCCATCCGAATAGTAACTATCCGATAGCGGCCATCGCCACGCGCGATCCACGGTGTTTATCGGATGACCGCGCGTAAAATACATCGCGGTCGTATCGGGTAGTATAATATCATAACGGTACGTCGTTTAGTACAACGTCTATAAAAAAAAAAAAAAAAAAAACATTACGTGTTA